TCCCCCCCCCCCCCCAACAAAATCAAAAACCCAGTTGTCTTGCCGAGTGACAGGAGAGTAAATCTTTCTATAAGATCCTGCTGAAAGGATTCGTTATAATTAAAACATGCCACAAAGTATTGAATTTGACACTATGATAGCATGATTCAAGGGGTGTGCCATTACTAGCTTTCATGTGTTATTGTGAACGTAAAGAACTACGCTGTCTTAGGTCTAGAAAGCACAGGTAAAAGGCCTTCACTTAAGATAGCCAAGGCCTTCACACAATTATATTATATAAATTACTAGCTGGGCCCCCTTTCGATGAAAGGAATGACCGGTGCATTAACATCAACTGAAAGTCACTGGCCTATTGTATTTACACTGTGCTGGAATGGAGCAATAAATTTTGAGAGATGCAAAAAATTAAATGGTCTAGATCTATACGTTTCGCACTTCGCACATTTAAAATAGTGCTCAGTATTGCGCGGCAATGCGCGATAGTATCGGACGGAAGTACGACTTGAAATAATCAAACCTGGCGGATTTTCTAAAATTTCAGAGACAGAAGCGTCGGCCTACAAAAGCGATCGACGAAATAAAGAAATTTAGCTTTTTGCAGCAAAACTGTCTCTAAACTGAAAAAAACGAAGGGCGTCATGATCTGGAGAAATTTTTAAAGAATCTTTTGGCGACAACTGCGTGTCGATCGATGCAGCCATTAAAAAGCCTTTTGAACAGCAAAATTCGGCCATCACAAATAGATAATAGATAGAACAAAAAAGAGTCAAAATCAGCTTTTTGTGGTAAGTGTTTTTACGTCGCTCGCAACTGCATAAGGTCACATGAAAGCGCGGGACACATTAAACTTTTTCAGTCGGTAGGAAATTTTGATTTTTGCCCGGGAGGCAGCCGAAGCTTACTCTTATCGATTTTAGACCTCCGATGGATCTTTAACGTGCGCAACTTGCACACGGGACCTCCAAGATTCTTCGTCCTTGTCCCGAGAAGGCTAGGTGTAGATCTTTCCTACCAGAAGATCAGGGGTGGGGCTGAAAGACATCAGTAAGAAGGAGCCAAGGAGCAGCTGTAGAAAGGCTACAGAAAGAGTCAGGAGCCCAGAGGAGGGGGCAGAGGAGGTGAGGGGGTGGGGGCAGAAAGAGGAGACGAAAGCAGACAACAGAACATTGCTAGAGAGCAGGAAAGGAGGTGAAAGGAGAAAATTTTTAGAGAACAAAATGTTTCGGTTGCTACCCGGATTCGAACCCGGGACTTTTGAATGAGAGGCAGACACCTTAACCTATAACCCACAACACGAGAGCCTCCTAAAATCAGCTTTAAATGATAGCTTACGACGATGTCTTTGTCTATGAATTATTGAGCCCGGTAATTTTGTTTCTTTTTTCCCCCCCCCTCCCCCAATGGTTTTGACAATGGAAAAGGTAATAATGATTACAGTATCCTTTCTTTTAATGGGATAAAAGTTAACAAACTGTATTGATGTGCAAAAAATGTTGATACTACCGTCTTAAGTGTTAGCTTGAGTCATTGGGTTCCTTAGCCTATTAATAACAATAAAGCGTTATCTCACTTATTGTTCCTCCCCTTTACCTGTCAAGTATTTATTGCTCTCCTTAATCTCTGACCGAAATCACCGCTCATAAGTCAGGTCGTAACTCATCATTGTTTTGTAAACGCACCAATTAAAATTCAAAGAATGAAAAGCTGGCTCAACATTACACAACGGTGATCGGAGAGTCCCAGAGTACAGGCGCAAAATCTGTCTAGCAAATTCGGATGCACACCTGATAGATGGTCAAGGAAACAAAAGCACCGATAAAATCACAGTTTGAATGTGATTTCGTTTGATGCGGCCTTGTTGGCCCTGCCTACCGAATCACGCCTTGCGGTAGTTCGATGTTCTGACAAATCAAAGGCGTCAAAAAGTTATAATCTGGGTGTGATCCTTTCATTGTAAGGCCCATGTGCCTGGGGCGAACATTGTACCACTCGTCGAGAAATTTAGAGCAGAGATGTGATCGTTTGTATACGAGTGCGGATGATCCATGAATTTTTTTTTTCAGTAAAACATGGTCTAAAATGCAGGAACTTCAGACTTCAGAGCGAGATCTTAGGTGTGACTTGTCTGTTATAAAACTTGTTGTTTTGGGGGTTGTTTCTTTTTTTTTTTTTCGACAAACAACGGAATTTTAAGTGATCCGGGATCATAAACGATGGGATCTCATGTGGAGGCTACTACGATAGATTAAATCGGGTACAGTAATATCAAAGGAGACTCAAACTCTTTCCATCCACCCTCCTTCCTTCATCTTTCTTGAACAGAGAAGTTATTCCGCGTTGTTGTTAAGCAGGTACTGGATCTAAAAAAAATATGGAGTCGCAAGGACATCTATATTTTGACATCAGTAATAGTAATGAGATAGATTTCGTAATGGGTTTAAAAAAAAAAGAATAAGCCTACTGACTTTTCTAATCTCAAGGACCTCAGAATAAAACCCTCTTTACTATCTAGATTTCAGTGCTAGAGGTTAGCAGCGCACAGCGCAGGTTGACCATGGTTCCGCAGTGAGAGAGGGCTGTAAGGCGTGCGTTGCCGCCCACACAGCAGCCCCCATTACTGCATAACATCCTTGGTTGTGGTCGACCTGTGCCATGAGAGCATCTTCGATAAATCTAATCGACGTTGCCGTTACATAATTATTGATAGGGCGAACATCTCACTCACTTTGTCAGTCTGTATCTTTCGCTCCCCGTCTCCCCTCTGGCTGTCTGTCTGTTCCTCTCAATCTGTCTGACTGTTTGTCTGTCTGTCTCTCTGTCTGTCTGTCTGTCTGTCTGTCTGTCTGTCTGTCTGTCTGTCTGTCTGTCTGAATGTCTGTGTGATTGTCTGTCTCTCCCATTATCGCTCTATTATCAATTAGTAGTGAATATTGTGGCCTAATGTCAGCAACCGCGGTTTTAAAAATGGAGTAAAAAGACTTCAGGTTTCCTTCCGCACTACATGTATTTAATCCCCCCTCCCCAATAATAATAATAATAATAATAATAATAATAATAGTACTTAATTAATGTTATCAAAACACGCTTTCAGTAACCACGGTGTCGTGATTGGACGAAGAACGGGCTTGTTTTAAAAGCCTATGGGATGTAAACCTTTTACAACCTGTTGAAACCATCGAATGGCATTTTTTTAAATTTGTAGGCCAATACAAGTACATGTATAAAGGGATTTCCTGGAATACAGCGTACGGGTGTTTACAGTTTAAAAACATACACATGTATTAGATCTAGATTCTATGTTGAGACAAATTAATTTTAGTCACTGTGCAAAAATTAGAAAGTCTATGTTCGATAGTTCAGAAGATAATTTTTTTGACAATAAATTGCTCAACGAATTGTTTTACTGCACCATAGTTTTACAATAAAAAAATTCGTGCCTCAACTTAATGTCAAATAATATTTCCTCAACTGTTGAACATAAAGTCTCCAGCATTTGAACAGTGACTTGTTGGCTAATTTGTCTAAACAGATCAATATTTAACCAAAAAAATTATCAACACCTGTTAGCTGTATTCTAAAAAATGACATGATAAATACTAATTAAAAATCCAAGTGGATGGTTTCAACAGATTTAAACACTTAACAGTGAACAGATGGAACAATATCGCTTTTAAAAGCAAGTCCGTAACCCCCCCCCCCCCTCTAATAGCGCCTTTATGCTTTTTGTACGCATGTTTCGAGAACCTCTAGTACAAAAAAATGTTAGATCTAGATCTAGATCTATCTAACTACAAAATTAATTTTTTGTAACAAATTCTGCTACTATATATAAAACGTGTCATTTGTAAGCAGTGACATAGGCCATAAATACGTAGATCTATACAAAAATGTGTGCGAGAAGCGGGAAGTGTTGTGAACAATCCCATTTTCCGCGTGACGGTATAAAGTAGGAAATGAAATAGGCTACATAATTTTATATACATTTATGAAGAACAGTAAAAAAAAAATAAAATATCTAGCCTCAATTGTGGAGACAAATAGATCATACAGACTGCTGTGCAAGGTATGGGTGATATTGATTCTCCTGTTAGAGAGATATTTGAGGATAAATTGCGCCACGAATTTTTGACCGCAGTAGCCTTAGACGTACCGTGAAGTCATGATACCGAGTGGGCAGTCAGTTGGTAGGCCAAGATCTAGATTCTATTCGTAAAAATGCGCTTTACTAAGTTCACGTGCTACTTCCGGTTTCCGCTGATTCCGGCTGTGTAGCTTGTAAACATGGCATCGTAACTACGGTGCGGAAAGTAGAGACTCGGCCAAATGACTTGCTGCATGTTTATGTAGAAGCATGGACTATTGCTAACTGTCTTTTAAACGGAATGCTATGTTTTCCTATCACTGCTTTGTAGAAAAAGTTAATCTGGTACCTGACTCAAGCCTTCGTATTCATTCCCATCTAACCTGGAACTAGTCTAGTCTAGGGAATAGATAGAACTAATCCAGATTCTAGACTTAGTCTATTGTTGAGTTGAGATCTGATCTTATTCTTCCTGCCATGACGATGATAATCTTGTGGTCTGCCATTCGTCAACTTGTCAAAACAGTGTTGGTACTCCTTTCGTTAGATCTTCTACTGATTTTCCATCATTCACCATCGCACATTGGAGTGGAAGCGCATGGTGGCGGTGAAGAGACAGTGCCACCTTTGCTTCTGATCTCATTCGATGGATTTAAATGGGATTATATTGAACGTGCTAATGCAAATTTAAAGAGTTTTGAGCGGTTCAAATCGGAAGGGGTTTATGCCAGAAATGGTTTGAAAAATGTATTTGTAACAAGCACTTTACCTAATCATTGGACCCTCGTTACTGGTCTGTTTCCTGAAAACCATGGTATACTTAATAATCATTTTAAGGACCCGAAAATTGAAAAGAAATTCGTCCCCAAGTATAAAGATCCGTACTACAGAAATGATCCAGCTTACTATGATGACGGTGGGGAACCAATTTGGGTTACTAATGAGCTTCAGTCCAAGCATGGTCGAAGTGGGACTGTCATGTGGTTTGGTGCAGAAAATCCTGTCAAGTCATACAGACCATCGCTGCACATGCCATATGATGATAAAGTATCTTTTGAAAAGAGAATTGACACTATCGTTGATTGGTTTACTTTACCACACCACCCAATCAACCTGGGTCTAGTTTACTTTCAAGAGCCAGATAGTACAGCTCACAAAGCTGGACCTGAATCTGAAAATGTGACAAGAATGATCTCCCGAATTAATGATATCATCGATCACTTGTTTACTCGACTTGAGGAGAAAGATATTCTCGATGATATAAACATTATTATAACAAGTGATCATGGTTTCACTAATGTTTCTCGTCAAAAGCTGATAGAACTGGACGCAATCGTTGAACCAACGCTGTATGAACTGGTCACTGAATCACCTGTAGCATCAATATACCCACATGAAGGTTGGTATACAAACAATTGAATATTTTTCTTTTCCCCTTCAGATTTGCTTTGGTTTAGTTGCTATACTAGTAGCATTATAGTTTAGGTTTGTTCTTCATTGAGAAAACTACACATTTTTAAGAGCTTATATATATTAAAAATATTTAAAAAATATGTTACATGGTATTGGTATAGTCTCCCCCTAAATGCATGGTGCTCGGGAGGGTTCCTTAGCGTGTGTTTATATATAATACGGAGCATGCGTTTACATGAACCTTTGCAAAGGGAGGAAGGGACGCAGTCGTCTCATTGCCTTGAAATTCCAGTGACCTCCGTTTGAGGTGGGGGTCACTTTGGGCCGATAATGTGACGACACATGACGGTTTTGTGAAGCATTCCCCGATTGCGGTTAAGAATGCGTTGAATGGGTGTGTGGGTGTGTGTGTGTGTGTGTGTGTGTGTGTGGAGGGGGGGGGGGGTAAGAAATACTGACTCAATGTTATGGTTTAATGCACCTTAAAATGTTGGGAACAGATAGCGTAAGACTAGTAAGAGGAAACTGTTGATAGTCCTAGAGACGACGGCCCAGCCACGTGGCTTTCCTAGCGACTACCCCCGACCGTAAATTCATGAACGAGCATTCTCATGCCGTGTTGCGCATCTTAGGCCTAGGTCTAACTAAACATTACATGCAGTCACCCAAACACCAGTCAGAAACTTTCTGTTCTTAAAGATGCATTTCCTGTGACCAATCAAATAACATTTTTCAGTCCCCCAACCCCCCAACATTTCACCGACCAGTCCTAGACCTATAGGCCTACTGTCTGTGGAAAGTTGGGTGTGAAAACGTTGTCCATCACTCTCTATGTTTCGGCGTGAGGGGCAGTCTCACCAAATATCATACTGTCTAGGCTTGTTTTCTTATATATATATGCAAGCTGTGCAGATTTCCCTTTGTTCAGCTTAACCTGTGCTGTCGGCGTGTTTCGCGGATCAGAGCGTGCGTTTAGAGGGAGTGACCATGCGTTTGTACATCTAAATTATGTAGTAAAAAACCCGTCGGATGACGAAAGTGTGCGTTTGAGCGGAGCATGCTTTTGTGTGGCATATGTTTAGGCCGAGACTACTGTAGTATTTTCTTTAAAATGTCCAGCAGGTGGTTGGTCTTCCTCTTTTCATGCATGTTAGTCAAAGTGTGGGCCTTGGGGTTGATAGGTCAAGTCACGGGGACCGGGCTTAGCAGAGTTTATAACAAGTCCTCTGACTCTCTTTTTTTTTTGGTGGTATGTGTGTGTTTTACGGTGGTCGCAACTTCATAGGTCATATATATATGAATGCGTGGGACACATTAAACTTTTTCAGTCATAGGAAATTTTGAATTTTTCACGCTTCGGCTGAATCCTACTCTTATTGATTTTAGACCACCAAGGGATCTTTAATGTGCGCAACTTGCACATGGGCCCGCCGAGATTTTTTGCCCTTATCCGAGAAGGCTAGGTGTAGATCTTTCCTACCAGGAGATCAGGGGTGTGGCTGAAAGACAGCAGTAAGAAGGAGCCAAGGAGTAGCAACTTAGACAGGCTGCAGAAAGAGTCAGAAGTCTAGAGGAGGGGGAAAAGGAGGTGAGGGGGTGGGGGCAGAAAGAGGAGACGAAAGCAGACGACAGAACATTGCTAGAGAGCAGGAAAGGAGATGAAAGGAGACAATTTTAGAGAAGAACATTTTTTGGTTGCTACCCTTATTCGAACTCCGGACCTTTGAATGAGAGGTGAACACCTTAACCTCTAAGGCCACGAGAACCCACTGCTCTGACTCTTCACTTTTAAGGATTGGATGGGAAATCGAAAGAAGATGCCTTTGGCCTTTGGTGGTGATGCCTACCTCGGGCCTCTGACTATCTGTTGTGTTCTATTTTTCCGTCAGCTGACAAACTTGGGAACAAGGGTGCACTTTTAGATCAGAAATGAGTAGCCTACATTATAAAGACACAAAGACCAGAAAACTGTTGGAAAGCGCTTTGAAAAAGCTATCCTGTAACACACTGAAAAAAAAATTTGGATTACGTCATTTCTCTTCTATAATCTGCTGGAAATTTCGGAAACTGCAGAGGACCCGTCATAGCCATTTTCACTGATTTGCAGAGTCATGGCTGCTAGGGGTTCTAAGTTAAATAATGGACATTCTTTTGTGCTCCTCTGGTTCAAAAAAAGTTATAATAACTTCTACAGGAGGTCCTTCTATTCTTTTTAAAATGAGTGCACTTTTGTTCAGCATCGTTGTTTCCGGGGTTAGCGAAGACCATGTTCGGAAAATGCTGAGGATCCGACAAAGCCATCTTCACTAACTTGCAGAGTCGTGGCTGCTGGCGGTTCTTAAATAATGGATAATCTTTTACCTTGTTCTGGCTCAAAAAGAGTTCTAACAACTAAAGGAGGTCTTTCTTTTTAAAATGAGTACACTTTCGCTCAGCGTTGTCATTTTGGGGGTTTGTGAAGACTGTTTTCGGAAACTGCTGATTTTATCTGAAAATTACTGCCTGGTAGCAAAGAGAATGCCAATCTCATCGGTACTTGCCAGTAATAGAGTTAAGGCACTTTTTCTCCATGCAACGACTGTGACTTTGTTTTTTCAGTATAATATTAGACAGTGGTGATTTCTTTTAAACCAGAATATGCAGAACCACATGATTTTCTTTGGTTTATTTGCAATTTCTGTAAAGAGAGAGATTGCTCAGTTGTGCAGACTTGATGGCTTAATTGGTTTATAAAAAACAGTGGCATTGCTAAAGTGCTGTCAAAATTTCATGGCACAACGTAGTTGTCAAATATTTCCTAAACTATCTTGAACATAGACTCTTCAGCTTTTGCACAATGACTTGTATCTATTTGTCTTAATAAATCTATATTTTTGTAAACATGTGTTAGCTGTATTCTAGAAAAATCCTTGTATACTTAGACTTATTAAAAATTGAAGTGGATGGCAATCTTGCTTTTAAAAGAAAGCTCTTTTTTTTTTCTAACCGCGACAAATGCTAATTGAACGCATGTTTTGAAAACCTTAAGTGCAAGAAATGTTTTCACTATAAAATTAATTTCTTGTAATAAATTTTGCGACTAAAATGATATCCATGGCAAAGCATGATTTTACACTGCTCATAATGGTCAGTCACTCCAAGACACCCCCCCCCCCCCCTCATTCTTATGTCTTACAGCCTCAGGGCTCCATAGATGGTTCAAGAAGGTCAACAATGACCTGCAAATAAACAACATACAACCATGTCTTCTGCAAAAAATTGCCAACATTGAGTGATTTTTGTTGTTGCTGTGGTCATTCTCCAAAGTCTGTCATAAAATTGTCAATGCTTCATCAGGAAAAACTGTGGTCTGCTGTAAGAGTCCTTTCAATAAAATGAGTATAATAATATGTGAATTAATGCTGAGCGGAAACTCAAATGTAAATTAAATATATGGATATTCCAGTTCTTGTACCTGATTTAAATACTAAGTTTAAGACCCAACCAACATTGATTTATTTATCTTTCAACCTACTTTCTATATATATATACAGTGGGGTCCACTTATAACGAGTCCTGAAGTAACGAGAAGTCTTTTATAAAGACATGATTCTAAATCCCCGTTTTTTTCCTTCTTTGTCTTTGTAAATAAAATACTGCTATAGCGCAATCAGATAAACGCGCGAGTCGGTTATAGCGGAATATTGCTGCTGCTGTGCACACCGCATATAGGCCATTTATACCTGAAAACCTCGCCAGTCGAGAAACTTGTTGGTGATCAAACGAAACAAAGAATGGGAAAGCCCATATGTGTGCCAACGATGAAGGCCGGATCGAATGAGTGGGGAGGGTGTGGCACGCGCAGACAAGCCGTTGTGAAGCAGAACGCATTGCCTGATAGTGATAGGCCAGCGTAGTCCAGATTATCTAGGCCTAACATGCCTCTCACTTCTCCAATGCGAGGATGGAGAGGTCATACTCACAGTGCTGTGATGGATGGAGTGAATGTGTGACGTGCGCAAGCAGACGCGAGAACGCACCCCGGGGTGTGATGGGGTGGGGGACAACACAGCGGGCGAGTTAGCCTAGAGAACTTTCTGTCTGATAGCCAACGCCGAGCTGTCAACAACACTAACGCTAGACAAAGAACCCTGGTTCTATTTTTGATCAAGTAAGACCTAGAGGTCATGTTGAACAAAGCCATCATCAGAGGAGATGACAAAAAGAAATAAACAGAACACCAATCTCATAGATTAGGCCTACTTTATTATTTCCTTTGAATTTACTACTGGATCCCTTACAACGAGAATCCTGCTATAACGGACATTTCGTACTGGTCCCCTCCCTCTCGTTATAACAAGATTCCACTGTATATATATCCAGATATACATTTGGGCTTCCGCACATGTCCATTGTTTACATACTATATGTATCTGATCTCGCAGCTCGTGCAGTTTGTAATGGGGATGGGACAATGAACCTGTTCTTGCGTCTTATTGAAATAATTAAGTTGGAGTCCAATCCCATCTTGACTTTCTTTTCATCCTGTTTCTTCACCCAAGTCAAACTTTGGGCTATGGCTTGCTTTCTCTGAGACAGCAGGGGCAACGTAGAGTAGACACAACGGAGCCTATAGGTAACAACGCGTGCAGTGTTCTACAGGGAGAGGTGAAGGGGCTTGTATGTATAACACAAATTCAGAATAGCTAGACATTCCTAAGAACTATACCCGTTGGTTACTTTTAAACTGATGTAAATCAATATTTAAATCAACCAGCAGCAAGCAAGTCAAGTGGGAAACAAGTATGGGAATGAGATTATGTTGCTCATGCTGAGCGGGCCGGAGATCCTGGTCCACCCATTTGTTCCCGCTTATTTTCAAGTAGTTGACCTGGAAATCTAATTAATGAAAATATAAGTTGATACCCAGCACTATTGTGATACAGTGGAATCTGACACTCCATTATGTTCCGTCTGTTAGCGTTAACATCTATTTCACATAAATTTATTTTGTTATGCATCAAACTATGACATTAGTTGCAAACTGCTAATAATAATTCTTATTTTACTATTCTATTGCAAATTAGACTTTGATTTGCCTGTAATTTCAGCTTTGCTTTACTTTAGTCGCACTTTGTCACTAAAACTGCTCTTTCTCAGTGACAGCTTTCATTTGAACATGGTGAATGCCTGTTTGTGCTTTGTGAATCTAATGAGTTTCTTTCTTGGGATGCCACATAATTTTTAAAATGTTTCAGCATGTTTGCTTCCTTTTAGTTTTTGTTATTATTCATGATGTTTTTACCCAAGAATATTTTGGCTGAGAATGATACTCTTTCCCTGTAGGACAATTTGATAACGTGTTTGAGAAATTGAACGACGCAGCCACCCGCCCTGACAGTCATTTCACCGTTTACAAGAAAGATACCATTCCAGAGAGATACCATTACAAGCACAATGCAAGGGTCCCTCCCATCGTTGCTGTAGCTGATCTGCATTATTCCTTTATTGCAAACAAGACAGCTGATGAATTCATTATTAGTAAGTGATTAATCATGCTTTTTTGCAGTGGGCATCTCCTATTCATCATGAAACTTATTAGTTGCTTAGAGTATTTAAACGTGTTTAGCACATGAAATACCCGTTACATATGTCTGGAAATTGCCAGCAATGTCTTGGGACAATAACAAAAGAAGAGTTTCTGTTTTCTATTTGAATGACTATTTGGACTCCAAGAGTGCATCTTTGTTTGCCTCCTGTTTATGGCATTACACTGGCATCTGTGGTGTAGTGGTTGGGGGTTTGCTGTTGCACGCAGTACACCTAAGTTTGATTTCTGTAGGGAGAGTTTTTTTTTATCATCTCCGTCCATTTGCTGGGACTTTGTATCAGTATCAGCCTGGGTTGGCCTGATGGGCAGGGTTACAGCAGCCCACCTCCTGAATGATCTAGGTGATGTCAATGTGGGTGTAAAATATTTACAGTTTGTATATTATTATTATATTATGGCCCAACTAAAGAATATACCTTCAGCTCTTTGTTCATCCATTCTATATAGTGTCTCCACAACATTCTCTTATCATCTTCTGCATTATGGTTCTGTTAAGACCAAGGAATTCATTGAGATTGTGTAAGTCTTGAATGAAAACAGTACTTGACAAGTGGCTACTAATAAAGTGCTTGTTACTTAATTCCCTGCTATAGGGCCTACTAATACTAGATCTATCAGGAGTGACAGAGATTATGGATTTATTAGTGCAGCTGTTCACCCTTTGACCGCAAGTTTAGTAGCCATTGTCAGCTTGCAACAAAAGAAATCTTATAACACTGATACCTCCACAATGCCATGGTAGACCATTTTACCCGAGACAGCCTTTTCAACTGTGAGACAAGCAGTTCTATGTGGTATTTGTTTCTACATGGGGAGACTCCGTCTGCATGTAGGGACGTAATGATTTTATACTAGAATGTTTAGTAGAATCTGTTCAGTGCCACTCCAGTGTCAAATGACATTATATTATTCATATATAGCAGTGATTCACTATGGCATCCAATAGCACTGTCTGTATGTGCAGACATGTTGCTCCTGATTTTCTGGGTGTGAAACAGAGACTTGGGACAGCTGTGAAAACATTTTCATTGGACTTGTTTTGGTGAATTCAAGGTTCCTCTTTATACCCCAGGTGGCCATGTGTGTACTAAGAAAGGCCCCTATTATACTGGCATGTTTATGTTCATAGGTTTCTTGGAATCAGAAATGGCTGAGTTGTAATACTCATATCTAGAAGAATGGAGGTTTGTACTATGTTCTGGTCAGTTCACCTCTAGAGTGTAACCCCTCCACTGGAATTAGAAGTGAACTTTGATATCTTGGTTCGGAAGCAGTCCATGATGTGTTTATAGGTAAAGCCATTTGGTTATTTTGATATATGTGTAGTTTGAAAGGCATGTATTGTAAGAATGTTAAGTTCAGCTCTGAATGGAGTTTAGACTTTTCTCATTGTTATTGGAATACTATTTGTACTTTACAGATGCTTACTTTGGGGGTGGGGGCGGGTGGGGGGGGAGGGGGGGGGCGGTCAGTGGTTTGTGTAAAAGGAACAAGTGTGTGTCTAGCACAGATTCTATATGGAAATCTAACAGCTTTTGACATTCTTGTGTTTCTTTCCTTTTTGTAACAGTGACATATTTTTTATTTTCTCTCCTGATTTAGAGGGCGACCATGGGTACGACAATGAATTCCAGGAAATGCATCCATTCTTCATGGCTATGGGCCCATCCTTCAAAGCTGGTGTCTCTGTGGAAACATTCCCCATCGTTGATGTGTACCCTTTGTTGTGCCACCTGCTCCATCTTCATCCTGCTTCCAATAATGGCAGCCTCAGTACAGTTGCACAGTTCTTACATGACGAACATGAAAATTCCATGTGGACGTTTGGCACATGTGAGTATGAATAATATGATGGAGAGGCCAATCATAAATTTGGACAATTTTGTGAAGGTCTTGTCTGGCCTTGAGGACCTCTAGTTTGTCCATAAACTGTTTGAAGTGTGCTGTTACAGATCTCGTTTAGTTTCTCACTTGTACACCCAAAAGCTGTTCGTTTATGAAGTCTTTTTTCCAGGCTTTAGGCCTGCAGGGAATTTTGTGTCAGATATTAATGAAACCTATGGTGATTTGCTTATAATTATAATAATAAGGATTGTAGCCAAAGGAATTTGTTACCATTTGTAAGGCAGCGTGGTGAAATCAGGCGCTCGTCGAAATAATGAAAGTCAAGAAACTGGCATTTTTCCGCCGGTTTGGGAATGTTTATCAAATTTTTGTTTTTTGACTCAACACCTTTCATGCCCTTTAAAAAACACATTTCTGTGTGAATTTTACTGAAAAACGTTGATTAAAGGCATAAAGGATGTAAATTTTCAGTTTCCACAGACTCTCAAGCTAAAAAATAACTCAACTTTGGCGGCCATTTTCTTGCTAATCTTACTTCGAAAGCCTGGCGACCCCACCTTCTTCAATCGCCAACATTTTGACATGTATCCAAAATAAATGGATATTGTTTTCATCCAAAGCAAGGCAAGTGGACAGGCTTTAAGATGATACAGATGACTTGATATGCCCCAAAATTGACAAGCGCCTGATTCCACCATGTCGTGACACATGTTATTATAACTGTTGTTTAGTATTTTGTACCTCACATCTGGAAGCAGAGTCACAAATAGAAGGTTGTGGAAACAAACCATATTTGTTTGTTAAATTTCGAATTTATTTTTATCTCACATTCACATTGGGTATGAACTTAGTACCAGCAAATCAAGGCTCACCCCAAGTGCTCTGACAGAGTACATGCATGCAAGCACTTAATCTCTGCATGTCTATAAGTATGTGTTTAAGAAAGAATATATTATGTAAATGTTTTTTTTGTGATTTTATTACAAAATGTGTTTGAGCATGTGTGTAAGTGTGTGTGTGGGGGGAGGGGCAGGGGAGAAGGAGAGAGAGAGAGAG